GAGGAAGAAGCCTGAGATGCCCTTTCCGTGATGACCGTGTAAGCTGTGTCTGATTATTCCTTGCGCCTCCGTACCAGTCCAGTTAGGGAAAATATATGTTGGGGCCCACGGGCTCTAACAGGGGGTGCAGTAAAAAAAAATTACCAACTTTACCACTCTACAATATGGTTTAGGTTTTTACTGTAATTAAGGGAGAGAGAAAACAGCCAGAGGCATCAGGAAGAACTCACTATATATAGCATGCTGAGCTTTCATTGGCAGTCCTGTACATCAACCTCCTATACACAAGGATCACAGGAGTGATCTACTCCATGTTGCCTCTTAAAGCCAGATTCCAAATTCATATACTATGTGCTATTGGAAGAACACACATGCTAAGTGGTTATGGAAGTAACTTTCACATATAGACTATACTGAAATTACAATAATCATTTACAAAATTTAAAAGCCAAAGAATTAGGCTTAACAACAAACTCTTGTTATAAAGTAGTGATGTAAAAGCATGCATGTGCTACTTGAAATAAGTAAATCAAATTAAAGCTAGGCTGGGTTTAACCTCATCTGGGATTTGTTTCACTAGAGCCTCCAGTCATTGGGATCTAAATATGGAGTTTATCATAGAAGTTAGTTAACAGAAATACTGTATTATTCAGGGTTCTTTAGAGTCACAGAACTCAGGGAATGGATCTCTCTCTCTCTCTCTTTCTCTCTAATATATGTAATGTGTACACAAATGATATACTATCTATGTAATATATACATTATATGTATATGTTATATATTAGGTGTTTAATGTATACATGATGCATAACATATTACATTTGCAATATATACATAAAATATATATCTGTGATTTATTGGAATGACTTACAGGCTGCAGTCCAGGTAATCCAACAATGGCTAGCTGTGAATGGGAAGTCCAAATGTTAGAATTCAGGCATTATGCTGGCCTGGCCTGTCATCTGACAGGATGTACCCAGGCTGTGTTCTGGCCAGTCCAGGGTCCTGGCTTGTACTCAGGTGCAAAGATCTCTTTAGGAGACAAGCTTTCCCCACTCCTGATCTTTTTCACTTCTAGGTCATTCTTCTGAAGATGCAGATGTCTCTGCTTCTCACCCCCTCCCTCCCTGTCTCTCCCATTTTCTCTTCCCTTCCCTTTTCCTTTATCTCCAATAAACCCCAGACTCAGGCTCTCTCTGCATGGTGTATTCTATCACCTGCCATGGTCCTCACTCATCCCATTTTACAGTACCAAGAAAGCTCAGTCCCACAAGTTGGAGGTGTCAGCTGGTCTTATGTATATGCTGTAATCCCAAAGAACTAGTCTCCGATGTCAGTGAAGGAATGGATGTGCTATTAAGGTGAGGGCAAGTGGGCAAAGAGTAAAAGCTTCCTTCTTCTATGTCCTTCCATAAGCGTCCAGAAGCATGTATGAAGTGTATTAAAGGGCTGTCTTCCCACTTTAAGACTAGGATTAAGGGCGTGCATCTTTCTGACTCAATATCTAGATCAAAGATATGCATGTCTTCCTACCTCAAACATCTGGACGAAAAGTTGATTCACTCACTTTAAACCAAACAGAAAATGTCTCACAGGTGTGCCCTCCATTTCTGGGATGTAGCTCAATCCAGATGTACTTAAGTTGACAATCAAGAACAACCATCACAAGTACTGAGTAGGAACTAGAGTTGTTTTGGAGAATATGGCAGACATACAACTATACTTCCTGCATTTCCTTCCTTCCTTCCTTTCTTCCTTCCTTCCTTCTTTCTTCCAGTGAGGACACGCTGCCACTTGCTTTGCATGTCTTGTGTCCTTTTTAACTCCTCTACCTACTTATATAAAGCAAATACTATTATTATCCCTTACTTTATAGATGGGGAAATGAAGTTTTGCTAATTCAAGTACAAATTCAAGTCACATACAGTGAGTAAGTGGAAAGCCGGAATGTAAACCCAGATAGACTCTGGAGCCCTTGCTATCATCAACTACACACTACAGTCTTTTTGTGGATATGCTTGTTGAGACCTAAATGACGAAAAGTTAAATCACTGGTGGCAGAAAATATATAAAGCCCTCAAGTGAAAAATGAGTTTTAGAAAATTATAGGTGGCCAGTACAATTCCCAGGAGACGGAGATGGCAGAAAGCAGGTAAAGTAGCTGTGATTCGAAAATCAAGAACCACTGACTTAAAACATGGCAGGGTTTTGGTGCTATGGTCATTCTTAGAATATTTCTAGCTCATAAGTAACAGATAAGTTGAAGGAAGATTATTTGTTAGTATATTTAGAGAGTAGTTATTCTTGTGGAAGGCATTTTAAAAATGCATGACAACAAACAGCTAGACATTTAATACTAAGTTGTATCTCTAGCCCAGGGACATGATAAAAAGCAACACTATCCATGACTCTAAAGTGATTGATAGAATGGTAATCAGAACTCTAGCTCTCCGGCACACACACAATTTTTCCTTCTCTGCTAGACACTGGTGAGTTTCTGCAGAGTTATGTAGCTGGTTTGATTCCAAGTATTAGCCTTGATTTGTCTTTTGTGACTGCTACCTTTTGTTTGAAGTATGTAAATCTTATCTGAGAGTTTCTGAATGGATTAAAGCCTATGCAAAATTTGGTTATAGGAGAACTCAGCAAACTGAGACTGTCCTGTGATTTTGGGGAATTTGCATTGGCATTATCTCTTTGGGGAGTATAGATAAGAGGTTTTAGTATATAGAAATTGACTTGCTTAAGGTGTGAATTGTATAACAATAAAAAAAGCCCTTTGCAAAGCAGCAGGGGTAAGTTTGCCAGAGACTCACTTGCATCTGGGAAGGCTAAAATTCATTCCAGAGAGCCTCTGTGTCTTCTTTATTTCACTGATTTTGTGAACCCACAACCAATAAAAGACACTTTTCATAGCATGTATATTCCAGAACTCTCATCTTTAAAATCACATCAAACAAAATAACCTCCATCCCTTGACTTCTTATTCTCCCCTAGATACCACTGTATTTTCCTACTCCTTATCCAGAAAAACATGTTTGACAATACTCTACTTCCATCATTTCCAGTCCCGATGAACCTAGTCATGTTCCTCTTTAGCCCTACTCAAGCTGCCCTGGCCCATGTCACCACACTATCGCTAAAAACATATGCAATGATACACTGTAATACGATGCTTAACTACATAAGACACAAAGCAGAAACCTGAATTATATTTGTCATAGGCTTTAGTACTTGCTTACTTTATCCATTTATCCTCACATTGCTTACTGTAGCTTTTTCTGTGTGCTGCAGATATCGTGTCGCATTATGAACTCTCTGCAATCTTCAATTTTTAAATAGCATCCCATTCATGCTTTTAACAGGCAAGATGCTGTATCAAGATAGTACTGTCTGTAAGTACACACTCCAAAAAACCCAAGTCGAGGGGGCATGTCGTATCACAAAATGTTAATGGGATCAAGTAAGGATCAGACTAAAGCCATCTTAAAGAGTACAAAACTAATGGGCAGTGGTTGTATAGGGTACTGCTGGCCTTTCCAGATCCTTCCTGGCAGTCTTAAGAAGGGGCATGTTAGAATATTTCTTAAGATGAGCCTCTCTGCCAATGCAAATAATTCCAATTAGACCAAATTAGACTGCGGGCTTTCTAGACCCTCCCTGGGGAGGGGTCACCATTTGGCAGGCTTTCTTGGAGGTGGAGTTTGGACTAAAGGAACTCCCAGGGGAGGTGGCTTGAAATGGAGTTTCCTGCCCAGTATTCCATAGATGGTGCCAGGGCCTGGGATGAGGCCCCCAGTATAATATTACAAATGTTTGGTCAAAATCATCACCCCAGTTCCCCAACACCTCTTTATACAAAGAGTCTGGAATATTATAGCCCACCATATGGTAACCCCTCTCCAGGGAAGGTCAAGACCACTCCCACGGGCTACTTAAACTGCCCCCCAGAGAATGAAATATGGTCTCCTGGTTTCACGTTGCCTCCTGCTTCCTCTCTTCCCCTCTCCATGCTTTCCTGGGGCCACCCGAAAGCAATGCATTAAACATGGGCATTTGGTCTAATTTGGTGTGGTTGGAATTATTTGCGTCGGCGGAGAGGCTCGTCTTAAGAAATATTCCTAACAGGGGTGTAAGCTGAATCAGCATGGCATCATATGCATGTGTCCATCAAATGCAGTGTCCATATTCATCTCCAGAGATCAAGTTTTCCTCGGACTCTAACTCGGGGAAGTCTCTGCTCAAGTGTACGTTCTCAGAAGAGCCGCCAACATCTATTTACAATAGTACCCAAGGAAAGAGGAAAGCACCCCTGTGACTTTGTATCAAGTCTAAGAACAGCATCCCGACTTAAGGTGCGCGGAGCCGTGACTTGAACTCTTGCGGGACTCGTGTGAACGTAGAAAGGCCTGCACCCAGGCGGCTCTCTGGGGGCTTGGGGTAATAGGGAGGGTCGTTCCGCAAAAGGCAGGAAAGGGTCACCTCCGAGGAGCGGCCATGCACAACTCCCGGGGCAGCAGGTTCCTCACTGTGGTCGGAGCGCCCACGGGTTGTACCGAGGCCGGGGGTCGCAGGCCCCTTGTCTTCGCCAGAAAACTCCACCGCCCCCTGTTTCTCAGACCCCGCAGCTCACCCACCTGCAACCGCAGTGCGTGAAGTCTTCACCCAGGTCCAGCTTGCAGGGCTCCGGCTGTGGTTGGCTCGTGCTACTGTCCTGTTAGCTCTTCCTCCACTGTGAGTGGCCTAACGGTTCTGGGAGACCGTGGTCCCGCCCTTTCCGAGGTTCCGGAGCCGCGTTCACAAGACGTCACGCTGTGCGGCAGAACGCGACCCCATCAGCCCCGCCCTCTTCCCGAGGCGACCTTCGGGTTGGGGGCGGAGCATCACAAGGTCACGCCCAGCGTCAAATCTGCTCTAAGTGGGACGCTGTGGCACGTCACAACCAGGCGCCCAACTTCTTTGTGCGGACGCAGAAAGGGGGTGGAGTCACTTTGCGCAGACTCAGGAAGCCGAGGGGCGGTGGTCAAGCCAGCGCTCGCGCCATCGGGCCTGAAGAGCGGACGTTGCTGTGAGGCGCATGGTGTTCCCAGCCAAGAGACTCTGCGTGGTGCCTTCAATGGAGGGCGTTCGCTGGGCCTTCTCCTGCGGCACCTGGCTGCCGAGTCGAGCCGAATGGCTGCTGGCGGTGCGGTCTATCCAGCCCGAGGAGAAGGAGCGCATCGGCCAGTTCGTGTTTGCCCGTGACGCCAAGGCGGCCATGGTACTCGAGGCCTGCGGCTTTGGGGAGGCGGGCGGGCAGTCGCCAGCCGGGTCGGGGTTCTGGGACCTGGGGCTCTCACAACTGATGTTCCCTGGGAAGGGCCATCCACTTAAAACTGGAGTCAGTAATCGTTTGTTTAGTAATGCATATGCTTTAAAAGTTAAAAGCTTGGAAGTTACAAAATATACAGTATGTACCGTAGATTTTTATGTCTCTTAACAGGCCGGTCGTTTGATGATAAGGAAATTAGTTGCAGAGAAATTGAATATTCCTTGGGATCATATTCGTCTGCAAAGAACTTCAAAAGGAAAGCCGGTTCTTGCAAAAGACTCGTTGAATCCCTATCCCAATTTCAACTTTAATATCTCTCATCAAGGGGACTTTGCAGTTCTTGCTGCAGAACCTGAGTTACAAGTTGGCATTGATATAATGAAGACTAGTTTCCCAGGTAATGGTTCATTTTTATGTCGTAGTAAAGTGTGCTATGTCTCAGATCTTAACTATTAGACAATTGTAGACCAGAATACTTGTAAATATAGACACTTGCCATACTTAATTTCTATAATTACTGCACCATTTTAACCACCTTCAGCTACATTTTCTCTATAGGCATGCACAAATTTTTTTGGCATTTTTCTTTATAGCTTGCTGTTGCAGAATACCTGAGGCTGGTATACAAAGAAAAGAATTTATTTAGGCTCATTTTTCTGGGTTCAGGGAAATCCTGAGGACTGGGATAAAAATTGATTTATTCATGAAGGTGGTGCACCTATGGACTTCCAATACTGTTGTATTTTGCAAGTAAATTTCAACATGAATTTTGAAGGTAACTAACTTTATTGAAACGCAACTCCAGGGAAATGACCTGGTATTATAGAAGCCTTATTCAAAATTAACTGCTACTGCAAAGGAGTTAGGATGATGGAGGGGAAATCTTTACACTAGCTTTTCCTCTAACTAGAAGTTAGTGGAGAGGCCATTAACATCGAGAAGGAAGACAGCACAAGACAGTGTCTGCCTAGAAATAAACAGATTTTACAACCAGTTTTGTGCAGTGTTAACTGTGGTCAGTACTGAATAAGTCCTTACTAATAAACAGTGTCTGCCTGGGAAATAAACAGATTTTACAACTGATTTCATGCAGTGTTAAGCCATTACTAATTGAAGTTTTTAATGGTGGGGAGGTAGTTGAGCAGAAATTGAAAATTCTATTTCTTGTTAATGCTTTATTAAATCTTTGACCCCCATCAAGTTTGATTAAAGCTTTTCCCTTCACAGTTTATTTGGCTCAAAGTTTATATGCCCACTAACACAAAGGAAGAGATACATTCTGTTGGGACTAGGGTCATTAACATCCCACTGATTTTCAAATAGTGATTGGATGCATCATCCTTTCTAAGTGAAGATGAAATGAACACCAGTTTGCTTCACTGGTGATTTATTAGGCCCGGTAAGTGAAGTAGCAATGTTTTTCAGTCTTGTTAAAAGATGGAAGATGTAGTGTTGAATAGAAGGGGAAACTACTCTGTACCAAGCATTGTTAACTCTTGAGATACAGTTGCCATAGAGGAGTACCATTAGCATATTGAAAGAGACAATTCTATTATCCACATTTTGTGTCTATAATGTCAGATATAATGTGGGAAGTCATTTCCCTTATTACCTATGGTGGCTAAGTACAGCTCATTTCCTAAGTAGATTTAGACTTTGAGATCCTAGCACAAGTTGTGGAAATTCCAATGCTTAGGGAGAATGTTGTTTGCCTGGTCAAGCTTTGTCTTCATTTCCTAATTTTCATCTACTGTTAAAAATGTTTGGAGGTTCAGGTGTAAAGAAGATAGTTTTATGATTTCTTCAGTTTGTCAGTATTTACAAAATAAAATTAATATTTAAGTTTGGGGAGAAGTAAGAATTCTATTTGCATGGTTTTCATTTTCATGTATGAATTTATTATAAAATATTTTGGATGTATATAAAAATAAGCTAATATTTTGAGAAGCAATTTTAAATAATTTAAGTAATTTAAAGTGACTGTTGCTGGTTGTACTAACACACATCTTTATTCTCTGTACTCTGGGAGTAGAAGCATACTGATTATGAGTTTAAGTCTATCCTGAACTACATTGTCTAACACACATCCCAAAATAGACATTGTTATAGGAATTGATCTCTAGAGGAGCTATTGGATTATAAGTATAAATTAAATGTAGTTGGTATTAAATAGGCCCGGATATTACTAAAGAGTCACAGCCTATTTCTTGTTTCCTCTCACATTCTTTCTTTCTCAGTATTAGTATATATTCCTAAGTGATTCTCCAGACAGAACTGAGTGATTTTGAGATATGGACACTAGTTTTAAAATTGTGAAGTAAGTTCTCATTACAATAATAGAATCAAAACTCCTGAACATAACCATGTTATCTTGTTCTTTTCTGCTTTCTCTTCGTAGGCATCTACCATTTCTCATTTCTTTCTGTTTTCTTTGATCATCGTTTTCTGTCCATGCTGCTCTTTTATTGCTTCCAGTTAGACCTTGCTTATCCCTCCACCTTCCCTGAGTAGCTCCCATAGTCTTTGAGAAGCGTGAATAATTTTATTGTTTGAGTTTTTGTATATGTGTGCTTATGGTGCCAATAATATGTGTGGAGGCCAGACAACAACCCACAGCTGATGTTTCCCTCTGAAATGTCACCAATCTCCTTGAAACAGGATGTTTTCAATCTGTAGTTCAGCAATTACTACATTGGTTAGCCATTGTGAGCCTTAGGGTTCCTCCGTGCTCCTCCTCAGCACTGGTACTCCAGACCATACAACCACACTTATCATTTTCACGTGGGTTCTAATGACTGAACTCAGTTTTCCGTGATTTGGTGGTATGCACTGTGCTAATTTTGAACTTTCTTTGTAGCTGAATGGTGAGCATTAACCGAGATGCTATACATGAAGTACGGTACTGGAGACCCTGTTTGAGAGTGATGTAGATGGGCTCTGAGGTCTGGTAGTACATTAGAATGTTTTTTTCATAAACCTAGAATAGTAACTAAGGGTTTTGTTGATGATTTTTGTTTTGGGTTATTACGTTTACAACAATGTTTTGGTTGTGTGATCTTGATTATATAGATTATATAGAACAACTTAGTAACTGACATTCTCCTTTAATTAAACTAAATTAATTTAATTAAACTAATTAAAATAAAACTCCTTTAATTAAACGCTTAAGAAGGATCAAGTTTTTCTAAACTTAACTGAGAGTTCACGTTTTCCAGTCTTTCACCTTTCTTACATGTGTTTTAAATATTCAGTAGGATGATTAAATAAATATTCAATAGGATGATTATTGTAGTAGACATCAGTATAGACAAGTAGTGTTAAGAATTTTCCTGCATGTATGCTCAGTAGTTATACTGATATTTTGAGGGACAAATTTGTTTTTCTTTTGGAATTTTCTTATAGTTTTTCTTCTTATTTCCTATGTAATGCGAAATAAAAAAAATATTTGGCTAATTTGCTTTCCTCCATTAAACCACAGGGTGGTGCTGCTGGTCTTTAGTTAAGTATTTATGGACTCCCCATTGCTTGCTGTTTATCTTCTGCTTTAATATTTAGCAAACTATCCTCATTGATTTTTTTTTAGCTTAAGTAATGATTTATATGATTGTTTGACTTCCTTGTATGTTAATCGTTTTTTAATAAATATTCCTGTTTTTTCTCTGATTGCCTTATACTTAGGTAAAAATTAAAGGAATTCTTGTAGGTTCTAAGTGGAAAACTTAAAAAACCAACAGACGAAATGACACGGTAAAAACAGGATTATCTTAAATTTATGAGTTTTGTTTATTACACCATTAAAACTAGTTTCATACAAAGAATGAAATATTCCAAATCCAAGTTAAAATGTTTCTCTCTTGATTTTATATATGGTCCTTATGCCAGAGTTAATTAAAAAACAAATGTTTCTCTTTTTAATTTTGCGTTTTTTGGATGGTGTGTGTGTGTGACAGAGAGAGAGAGAGAGAGAGAGAGAGAGAGAGAGAGAGAGAGAGAGAGAGAGAATTTGGAGGCCAGAGGGAGAGAGAGAGAGAGAGAGAGAGAGAGAGAGAGAATTTGGAGGCCAGAGGTTGCCATCAGGTTTGTTCTTGTCACTTTCCACCTTAATGTATTTCGACATGGTCACTTGACTAAACCTGGATACTGGACATTGAGTTCCTGGGATCAGCTTTTTCTCACATGTTTACCCTGACAAGTGCTCTTTCCCCCAGCATTGGGCTTACAGATACTGGTTACTGCTATACTTGCCTGTTTTTTACAGGGGCTGAGGATCAAAACTCAGGTTCCTATGCTTGCTAAGCAAGCTACCCATTGAGCCATCTCCTCAGCTCCTTTTTTTTAAAGCTTTCTCTAGGATGGTATTTATGAAGCTAGTAAAGGCCAAAACAATGAATGAACTAGTTTTTATTGAAATGCTCTAGTAATTCTTAGTAAGGCGAAAATGAGCTTTAGATTACTAAAAAGCTCCATCCACATCCCCAAATGGCAGTATTTCCTTGTTACAGGACTCCAAAGATCACATTATAATATTTCAGTGCTTGAAAGTGAATGAGAATCATTGTTGCAGTCTGAAGTGTCACATATTTTTGGGTTAAGCAGAAAGGATCTATTTTTGAAGACTGTTGAAGTTGGAACATAGGGGATTCATAAGCATCTTTGTACAAGAACTGATTTGTAATGTTTTCTTGCCTGACTCACTGTGGGAGAGGTATTTGGTTATTTGCAGAAGTTTTAAACCATACAAAGGAAGGCAGACGTATATTTTGTTCCAGATGTTCCAGCTTCACTACTTGAGTGTCAATATTTGTATATATTTATTTTTGTTTTCCCAGTAATAATTTCAAATAAACAGTGTGCATTGTTTAATTGACTTCTAGTTGCAAGCTATTATAAGACAGTTTTCTTTTCCCCCTAGTGATATAATAGGTTAAAAATTTAAAACCAAATATAGCATAGATACTTTGTTTTGGTTTTCTGAGTATTTGGTCAGATAAAAGAAATTTTGTTTTGCAAACATATTTATAACAAGTTTGACTACCAAGTGTTAAGTTTTTGGGAGCATCTTTTGAAAAAATTTATTTTTTTCTGCTTAATTAATTCATTTAATCTATCAATTAATTTCATGAACTCATATTAAACTCTTGTAGGCTAACCCATGGTTGTCATGGTTAGTTATTTTTAATTCCTAGCTAATTTTGATATGCTGATATTTTATGTAAGAGTATTTCTTAGTGTTTTTGATGTTTATGGTAGTAGGAATTCATTTCAGGGTCTTGCATATGCCAGGCTTGCATTCTACCACTGAACTACATTCCAGCCTCTTTTAGAATTATTGCCTGTTTAAATTGACTTTCCTTTTGGGTGCTCTTCAGTAGCTTCAGTGATGAGCAGCTTTTTAAATTCTGTTTTTATTTCCCTTTTGAATAGAATGACTATTTTTAATTTTATATTCTCAATTTGACAGGTCGTGGTTCTATTCCAGAATTCTTTCATATTATGAAAAGAAAGTTTACCAACAAGGAGTGGGAAACAATCAGAAGTTTTAGTAATGAATGGACTCAGCTGGATATGTTTTACCGGCACTGGGTATAATTTCTTTGTGATTTTAACAATAATAATATAATAATTTCCTTGTCTTCACTAGAAATAAGTGTGAAAGACTTGGTTTCTTGATAATATCATACAATGCTTTAATTAAATGGACAAATTCCTTGAGAACTTTGGTGTTTTTTATTATTTATATTGTATTGTTATGCCATTTATTTTGAGAAATTTTAACCTGTAATGTGCAGTTAGAAGATAGCTTATTTTTTAAACTAAAGTTTTATTTATTTATAATATGTTCTGCGTTAAACTGAAACTTATGAGCCTTATTTAACAGAAGATGTCACTTCAGTGCCTTTATAATTTAATTTCCTGTAGCAACCTGTTGAGGATGGCACTGCTTAGTCATTATAGTTTACATTTGAGATATCATAAATAATTTATCTGAATACTACTAGCATTATTTGTTTCCAATGCTGTTGTAATGAACAAAGCAAAAGAAAAAATAAAAACATAGTTAGAAATGCAAATGTATTATATTTGTAAATGTTATGAAAGGTTTTAGCTATTGAATACTTCAAGAGAAAAATGTCCATTTTTCTTGTAGGCACTAAAAGAAAGCTTCATAAAAGCTATTGGTGTTGGATTGGGATTTGAAATGCAGAGGCTTGAATTTGATATATCTCCATTAAACTTGGATATAGGCCAGGTTTATAAGGAAACACGTTTGTTCTTGGATGGGGAAGAAGAAAAAGAATGGGCTTTTGAGGTAAGAAATTTATTGTCATTATTATAGTTAAGACTTTGGGTGAGGAATCTATAATGTTCCTAATATTTACAAGAAGAATGTGAGCAGTTACAAGTGTATGTCTGACTTGATCATGAATAGATTCAAAGTGTATAACATAAATCTAATCATTAAAACTCTTCTGTCCTAGCAAGGCATTGTAGTAGTGCTTGCCTTTAACCTTAGCATTTGGGAGCTCTGTGAATTGGAGGCCAGCTGGTATACTTGGTGAAACCTTGTCTCAAGCAACAACAACAACAAAGAACCCAAAAAATGAGTATCAATGTATTAATACATTGTGTTTTAAAATGTTACTGTCTGTCCTGGTTAGGGCTACTATTGCTATGATGAAACACGGTGACCAAAAGCCAGTTGGGAAGAGAAAGGTTTGTTTGACTTATACTTCCATGTTTTAGTCCATTACTAAAAGAAGTCAGGACAGGGACTCAAGCAGAGATCATGTAGGGGTGGTGCTTATTAGCTTCCCATGGCTTGCTCAGCCTGCTTTCTTAAAGAACCCAGAACCCTAATCCAAGGATGGCACCACCCACAATGGGCTGGGCCCTTTTGCATCAGTCATTAAGAATATGCCTTACAGACTTGCCTAAAGCTCAGTTTTATGGAGGCATTTTCTCAATTGTGGCACTCCCTCTACTCTGATGATTCTCGCTTGTGTCAAGTTCACAAAACTAGCCAGCACACTGTCACAATAGAGATTAACAAGGCATTTACTTTGTTAGTGAATAAAGTGCTTAATCTTGCTTACATGTTACATGGTTCCAGGAGAGGTGTGTGTGTGTGTGTGTGTGTGTATGTATTGGAGGGAAGGTAGTAGAGCTATGTAGAAAGTAAGATTTAGAAATGTAAAAAGAAGTCTTGATTTATGTTTTTTAATTTGCATTTATCTTTTTTTTTTTTAGGAAAGTAAAATAGATGAGCACCATTTTGTTGCAGTGGCTGTTAGGAAACCTGATGGATCTAGACAACAAAATGTAAGCTTTTATGGTCTTTTAAAAATCTTGCTAAAAATAAGAATGATTAAATGATGTTTTTGCTTTTATTGAAGAAAATTCTAATTTACCTAGTTGAGTTAGGGGGTCAGAAGTCTTGGTTTTGTTTGATTTGCTTCTAGTTTACAAGGTTTTTTATTATCAAAATTTTTAAAATTATCTAGTATTTTATACACTCAAAAAAAACTTACAAGATCTTGTTAGCCTTATATTTAGATACCCTTAAATATTGCAAAGGAAAATTTTGGTAGTACTGTCAAATTTTCAGTAGAAATTCAGTATCATCACTATCCTATTTATAACAAGAATTTATTTCTTGGTGAATTGGGGGTGTATTGAATATAAAGGTCACCAGGTTGGGTCAATAATAGAATCATGTTACAAATTAAACTTACTCCTAGCATTATAAATTGTTTCCAGAGTTTATGTGAGACTTCGTATGATACTGGGACTTAAGTTGGTCTTCTGTATTTTCAATCATAATCTGTTTGTATTTCTAATGGTGAAAACTCCAAGACTCAACCTACATATAGCTGTAGTTGTGTGCAATTTCTTTGTAGAATACTAGTAACAAAATTGATGCCTTTGTTTTACATGCACACACACACCCCTTCATTATTACTTCTAGAAAAAAGATGTAATCCACAGAGCATTTCTTTTATAAATAAATACTGAATTTTGTCTTAGATTGTCTTAAGACGGCTAAAATGTTAGAATTGATATTTGATAGGAGATGGTGTGATTTGGGTTATTCATCTTATTCTCAAGTTTCAGCCTCATGCTCCCTCTGAATACTTTTTTGAGTATATTTATATAGTTCTTTATTTTAATAATATGTTCTTTGAAAATGTTAAATGTATATAGGATGTATTGTGATCATATCTGTTACCTCTAATTCTCTCTTTGGTCCGCTACTCTGCCTTTTTTCCAGCTTCATGTGCTTTAGGGCAGGGTTTCTGTTGTTGCTGTTAGTCCAGTTAGTGCTGCTCATATAGGTATGGGGAGATACACTGAGTCATGAGCTATTTTACTGACAGCCATATCCCCAAAGTAAATTATCTACCTCTCCCTGTGAGGATGGAGTTTCAGAGACCCTTATCTTATTCAAGTAGGAATTTTGATGTGCTTGATTTTGTGAAGGTCTTAAGAGTTGATGCCTGTAATACCATGCCATGTCTTGGAGTCAGCATTTTACAGCTTTCTTCTTCATGTGCCAGCTTTTAAATTTTTTCTTCCTTTATGTTCCCTGAGCCTTAAATGAGGGGAGATTATTTTAGATGGCTTCATCCACAGCTGAGCACTCATTGTTATTTATGTTTGGCACATGACAAGTTATGAGTCTGTTGGTTAACTGTTACCCATTACAGAAAAGAAAAATCCTGACCAAAGGGGAGAGCAGTACTAATCTATGGGCATTAAAGTAATAGAAGGCGATTTGACTACATGGCAGTTCAACATAACAATTGTAGGTTCAGCCCCTGGGGCCTGGGCTGTCCCCAGTCATGATCTTTTGATCCAGTTTTTCATTACCAGGTGTGAAATTTCTCCTGTGGATCAATCCCCATATCCAATAAGAAAGTGGTTGGCTAATAATGTTATGCCACTTTTGCAACATCAGTTAAATGTTTGTGCTTTCAGTACTACTTCTTTTCAATATAACCTCCTACAGCACTGCATAGTGGGAAAACTAGGTTGTAAGTCAAAGTTTACGTTTTGACTTGTGTGGTCAGCTTTTCCTGACCCTCGGTTTTTCATCTGTAAAACTGAGATGACAATATTTTAGTATGGCCTAGAAACCATATAAATAAGTACTGAACTTTGTTAAAGTAATGTGTGAAGTTCAAGTATTTAATATGAATTGATTAGCCCTCATTTGAAAGGGCTTTGTGCTGAAAATGTTTTGGACTTTAGATTTTGTCAGATTTTGGACTATTTTACTTATATATAATAATATTTTGGAGTTGGGACCCAATTTTAAATATGAACTTCATTTATTATTTCATATATACCAACTACATGCAGCCTAAAGGTAATTCTATACAATGTTTTTAATGTTTCTGTGTTCTGATTGGCTTGTCACATGAAGTCAGGTGCCTTGTTGGTATTTAGTAATAATTTCTTGAATGTGTGTCATCCCTATAGCACATCTATTATAGCAGACTTAAACTTCAGTAATGTTTCAAAAATTTTGCCTGTGGCCCAATTCTGCTTCCTGAAATTACAGATCTTCAGATTCCTTATATGTATGTATGCTGAGTCAAACTTTGTGCATACAGATCTCATTAATTCTATTTTAAGCAAATTTTGTAGGTGGTGGCTATATGTAACTTGAAAAGCAAGTTCATATTTCATTTTTTTTAGTTGGTAACAATAGTAAAAGGAGTAAAAACAATATTCTAGAAATCTTACTAAGCCTTAATTTAATATTACTGAACTGAAATTATTTCATAGTTATAAAACTAATCATTCAGTTAACATGAATTATAAATAAAAACAAGGCAATCTATTTTTGTTTCTGTTTTTTTTTTTCTCTTAGAGTTCATATCAAGATGATTCTAAACCATCCCAGAGGCAGTTTACCATTCTTAACTTTAATGATTTGATAGCATCTGCTATTCCTATGACACCTGAGGATCCTTCATTTTGGGACTGTTTTTGCTTTACAGAAGAAATTCTAATACGAAATGGTACCAAGTCATGATAGATTACCTGAATAAAGGTGGAAAATGAAAATGGCAATCTGTGTTCATTAAAATAAAGTGCTAGATGTGGTCAGATTTTATTTATTAAAATATTTTTAAAGATCCAAAGGCTTTTAAAGAGCAGATTTCCAGTTCAGTGACTTCTTTGAATATGCTATGTCTTCCTTTCCAGAACTGTACTTGATAGAAATGATGACAGAATCTTCCAATGATAAATGAGCTTTATAGAAAGAAAACAGTAAAATGTAAACATGATGAAGGCAAGCATTTTTAGAGAACTACCCTAAAATGAGTTCCAGAAACTTTTATTGAAATAAATTCTATATTAACTTTTTAAAAAGTGATAACATATGTTTTGTAGTTTTAAGAGACTACATCTGCTCTTTGTAACTATTGTTGCTGCATAAATTTGGTTCTAAAATATTGTCTTCTGTGATATCTGTGTGGCATTAAGTTGTCATTAGTGTTACAGTACTCATTTTGCCTTAGTGGCAGTAACAGAAACTGCTGCTGGAGCTTCCAGGTTTATTTTTTATAAAGTTGTGACATTTGTTTTATTAGAGATAAATACCCCCCCCCAAAGACTTCATCAATCAAATGTGTTTGACATATTTTACCACTGTCGAGAATAGACTATTGAAAGGAAAAGCTAAGTCTGGCTTGGGAGAATTTCATTTCATTGAGGTAACATTACTGGGCTTAAGGAAGATGTACCATACTGTATTAACTTTCCTCTTAGGGATTTTAATTGTATCAGTAGTGTAAATGGTAGTGCAGTGCAAGCTCTGGCATTTTGAGAGATGTGCTTAATTGTGTCTTGCAGATAGGTTTTAGAAATGGAATGATTGATTCAAAGGATTTAAACAATATTGTTGGTATGTGTTATATTGCTCTTGAAAAACTGCAGTTTATACTTCAGTAAGTCGTGTATGAGTACCACCATCTGTGTACTCTCTGGTCATCTGTAAGTATTGCCTTGATTTTATTTTCTAAAGATTGGATGGGTTTTTTTTTGTTGTTGTTGTTGTTGTTGTTGTTCTTTCCTTTTGTTGGTCTGGATAACTGAAAAGTGATACCATATTTTAAGTTTGCATTTATTTCATTACAAATGAGGTTGATATGCTATTGTTACTGGTATTTTCTTTTTATGAACCTCTTGTTTATCTTCATCCCTTTTTACTTACTAAATAAACTTAAAGTGTGAACATAATTTATTAAGACGCCAAGACCATCATATTGATGAGAGAATCTACTATATGATTGTAGTGCATGTCTTCAGAAATTAGTCTTATTACTGTTAAATATTAAGAAATAAAGCAATGTTGTTTTTATTACTAACATTAAAAATTGTGTAAGTTGTGTAAAATTATTCAGTAAAAGTGTTTTATACTTTTTATTTTATTGAGCATGCTTAATTTTACAAAATATAGAAAACCTTGTAGCATTTCTAAAAGATTAAGTATTGTTAACTCCTACATGAGTGTAATACTGAAATGAAAAATCGTTTGTCTTATTAGAATAAAATGGCTTGATAGTGTGCCAGTAGTGTTAAAAATTGGCCTGGCCAGATTCATGACTATCTTCTGTGTAACTGTACAGCTAGCATTGATACTGTCAATTTAATCTATCTTAAATAATGGTTCTTGAACAAATGGCTTTATTGTCTGGTCATTTTGCTTTCTGTGACTATTGTGCAGCAGAATTATGGTATTTCCCTCACTGTTAGCTTGAGGATTGTTTGCCTCTCTCCTGTGTTGACTTCCTTTGCCCAGTATGTACTCCATTATGTGATGTGTAATCTTAATTAATACCTTAATAACAAAGGCACTTGACAGAATTTTTTTTTGATAATTTGAAAGAAAAGGGAAAGTTCCTTGAACAAAGTGATGTGAAGTTAGATGTTTTCATAAATCATTTACATCTCTTTACTCCAAGCCCATCTTGTTTGTTAATAATGTTAATTTCCACTTTTTTCTCCAAGTATCCATGGTGTAGGAGGTTCTTCTGTTCATGTGTTGGCTTTCATTGGCTAATGAATAAAGAAACTACTTTGGGCCGGATAGGGCAGAACTTAGGTAGGCGGAGAAGACAACTGAATTCTGGGAAGAAGGGCAGAGTGGAGATGCCATGGATCTTCTGCCTGAGGACTGATGCTGGTTAGAATCTTGTGTAAGCCACAGTCATGTGGCGAAACACAAATTAATGGAAATGGGTTAAACTAAGAGTTAGCTAATAAGTTAGAACTAATGGGCCAGGCAGTGTTTAAAATAGTACAGTTTCTATGTGATTGTTTTGCGGGCTTAGCTAGCTGGGCTGGGTGGCAGGGATAAACAAGGGGCCCTGCTCCTTGTAACATCTCTGTCTCTTTGATCAAAAACCCTTGTTTGCATTGTGCCATACTGTTCAATGTATGGCTTGATGGGTCTTTGTTAACAATTTCTTACACAAGAATTTGGGTTAATTTAAGGGTGTGTGTGTGCGCACGTGCATGTGTCTGTCTGTCTGGCCGTCCTTTGCAATTTTATACATTTGGGCAAATTTTCAGTTAAAAATTATCAAATTCTATTAGTATTTAAAATCTGTTCTAGAATTAGGTTTACAAAACAGATTCAGTAGTTGAAATGTTGCCGTCTAAACTTTGAGAATTAAACAGAAGAATGTACATAGAGCTATTGCAAAAAAAATTCCCTTAAAGCAATTCAGCTACTTATATTTTTAAATAAGAAGACATGAAGACAGCCATAGCATCTGTCAGTTTGAGTTTGATAAAGATGGCTAGATGGATCTTCAGTTTATCAACTAACTCAAGCTGACTCTTGTATGTTTATTTAGATCACAGTTTCCTATAACAGTTCATCATCAAAAGTTGTGAGGGAAGAACTCAAGTAGGACAAGAATCTGGAAGCAAGACCTGATGCTGAGGCCATGGAGGGTTGCCACTTAATAGTTCTGTCCATGGCTTGATAAGCCTGGATTGTTTTGCTGCTGTTGTTTTATAGAATTTATGCCTACCAGCCCAGGGGTGGTTCAAGTGGGGAGCTGGACTCTCCCACTTCAGCCACTAGTTAAGGAAATGCCCTACAGGCTTTGCCTACAGTCTGACCTTTTGAAAACATTTTCTTTTCCCTCTGATGACTCTAACTTGTGACAAGTTGACATAAAACTAGCCAGTATAACCATACATCTGTTGATTGGTGGATAGATTTATTAATCAGATTTGTTCAGTATATATGCCAAAGCCTAAACAGAGCTACTATTGTAAGCTTTGTGTTGTGTTGGTAAATAGTGAACAATCAACAATACTGGGGCAGGCATGGTAGAATCTGGAAGACTCGTGTCACTTAGGTAACCAGCACATAATACCATATTTATTTCAGACAGTGTTTTATTTGAGGAATAAAGAAGATTCAGCCAGGTGGGCAGTCGTGGTGCAGCCTTTAATTCCAGTACTCGGGAGGCAGAGGCATGCCGATAGCCGTGAGTTCTAGACCAACTTGGTCTATAGAGTGAGTTCCAGGACAGGCTCCAAACCTACTGAGAGAAAACCCTGTCTGGGGGTGGTGGGGGAGTAGCCAAGATCTGACTGACATACAGACAAAAGACTTGTATTTTGTTTTTTGACTTTTCATACATAAATGCAATGTATTATAATCATATTCATAATGACTACTTTCTAACCAGTCATCCTCCTATTTTGCGTTTTTTACTTAGTGTCACTTTTATATATTTGGGGAAGTGGTTACTTCCTGGAGCATGGGCAACTTACCATTGAATTATTGGCCTGAGAGCTCCCAGGGCCTTCCCAGATAGTATTGCCATTGCTCTTGGTTGTTGTCTACTAGAATGAAATGGTTATAAAATCCTATTGCTCAAGACACCATATACTTTGGGTACATGGCTCAGAGAAATCAACCAGAACTCAACTGTGAGCTTCCTGCCTGCTGGAAGTTCGGGAAAGTATGGTATGGTTGATGAAGAGTTGGCTCAGCACTTAAGAGCCCTGCTGCTCTTCTAGAGGATCTGGGTTCAATTCCCAGCACTCAAATGGCTGGTCAAAACTGTAACTTCAGTTCCAAGTCGTCTGACACCTTCATATCAATGCACATTAAAAAGAAAAACGCCTATGCAGGTTGCTGTCTGAGATAAATCATCAATGACTGGTGGTTTGAGTAGACATGGACCCCATGAACTAATGTGTTTGTTTGGCCTATAGTTATGGCTCTGTTAAGAATAGATGTGGCCTTATTGGAAGTATGTCACTGTAAGTGTGTGCTTTGAAGTCTCATGTCACACCCAGTGTGGTACACAGTTCACTGTTGCCTGCAGATCATGGTGTGGAACTCTGAGTTCCACCACTTCCATATCTGCCTGCATGCTTCCATGGTTTTTGCCATAATGATCATGGACTAAACTGCTGAAACTGTAAGGCAGTTCCAATTAAATGTTTTCATTTATAAGAGTTGCTGTGGTCATGTTGTCTCTTCATAGCAATAGAAACTTTAAGAATGGCTTTCCCAACTGCGGGTTCTGTGTGTTACAGTACCAATGTGCCAGGCAAGGTGTATCTTCTGGTGTAATAGTAAAATGATTGGGAAATAGTCAAGCACTTTTTACTTGAATTGGAGGCCAACTAACTGTGAATGAATTCATGCCTGGTAACCGTAAAAGCCTATGGCTGGTGAGATCATGGACGTGTAGCAAAACTGCCCCATAGATATTTATCTTTATATCCCTACGCTAGTGCTACTCACTGAGTCAGAGAAGCTTTTTGTTTTGTTTTTTTCAGAGGACAATATTTAATGCAGAGACTTGCAACTGTTGAAGTGCTGAGAATAACTGCTGAATGCTGAATGTCATATATGTCACCCCCTCAGGGCTCACAGAAGATAGGGTGGAAGGATTTTATAAGCTGGAAGTTGGAAAGAGAAGTACCATGAGCTAGTCTTTTGGATATTGCATGGTCACTGTAGTCATGAACACAGAGCATCTGTGACTACTTGTCTAATACATATACACCTACACACAAAGACATGGACTCAGAATGGAGTTTACTTGTGAAGAACATCAGCAGGAGTTAAGAGATATGAGGGTAATGGGATAAGGGATGAATATGACCACAGTATATTCTATATGTATATGAAACCATCAAAAGTAAAATAACAAATCCTTGTAAACACATGTCATTAGGAGAGTGACACAAAATTAACATGGTATCACAATTGCATTATTTTTAATTATCTGTTGGAATAGAAATGTATTGCTTACAATACTGCCTTGTTACTGATATTTTTCGTTAATCTATTATCTGTCTCTACTTACCTATATTTATCTACCTACCTACCTTTCTGGGTTTCTTGTTTTGTTTTGTTTTTTGAGACAAGGTTTCTCTGTGTAGCTCTAGTCTACAAGCTCTCACCTTGTAGACCACTCTGGCCTAAGACTCAGAGATCAGCCTGTTTGTCACTTGAGTGGTGACTTTTTAATGAAAGTGTGATACAGTGTCATTATGTCTTATCTGTACTGTCTCTTCAAGGGTAATCTAGAGCACTTTTAGAGCTTAATAGACAAGACATAATTCTAGAGGCATTGGTAGCTTTATAGGTCAATGGCTTATAAATTAAATAAATTCAACCCATATTACTTGGGCATTTACCATGGATATAGCTTGTGAGAATTTGCTCTACACTGTGGAACAATTTCTTTGGTACGAGGCCTGTTATGTCATCTAAATGCCAATAAAATTTGTGTAAAAAGTTTGAATATACATGTTCTGTTTGATGGTAATTGTATTAAATAGTTCTTCCTGCATGTCATCTCTAAACGTGTGGTTGAAGACAAAAATAATACAAATAAAAGCTGGAGGAAGGGGTGCAGAACATTACACAATCATTGGCAAGTGAAATAGTCTATATTCCTCAAAAGATTTCAAAATACCATATGAATTAAATATTTCACTTCTGGGTCTCTAGGCATGCTATAGATTTTTTATGTTTTTATGAACCTATTCCCAGTAATCAAGTTATAGATTTGGCCTGAGTGTCCATCAACAGTTGGATGAATACAAAATGTGGTATATGTATGCAATTAAGTTTTATTTAAGCATAGATAATAAAATTGTCCCTGCAAGAAAATGCAATAGACTTAGAGATTATATTCACAGGCTTGTATTGCAGTTCCCTTTGAATTGAAACTTCCTGACACTGTGGAAGTAAACAAAATGTAAAACATCCCCATATGAAACACAACAGTTAAAAGAAAATGCTGGGATGCAGAGATTTTGACCAGCTCAGCTGCCTGATAGTTGTACAAGGAGCTCCAAGAATACAACTTTTAAGTCTGTTGTCACCCATGGTGATATGGGGTTTTCAGTGATGCAGCTGTCAAAACATTAATACTCCTTGTCTTAGGTATTCTATTGCTATGAAGAGATAACCGTGAGCACAGCAAGTCTTATAAACAAAAATATTTAATTGGGGCTGACACACTTCAGAGGTTTAGTCATTGTCATCATTGTAGGAAGCATGATGGCACCAAGGAATACTTGGAGAGGTAGCTGAGAGTTCTGCATCCAGATCACAATGCAGCAGGAAGAGACTGAGACATTGGTCCTACTTTGGATATCTGAAATCTCAAGGCCCACTGCAGTGACATACTTACTCCAACAAGGCTACACCTCCTAATAGTGCCACTTCCTACATGCTTATGGGAGCCATTTTATTTCAAATCACCACACTTGTAAGTAATTAATAAACTTACTGGTCTAGTAACCTAGATTGTAGTGGAATCATTTCTTTGGCCTGCCTTGAGATATAGATATTTGCTAATGCCTCCACAGAAAATCACACACTTTAGACAAGTATTTTCTCTTGTATATAGAGCCTAGATTTGTGTGTATGTGTGTGTGTGTAGTAGTAATAGTAGAAGAAGAGTAGAAGGAAAACCAGAACCTTTAGAGTAATGGGGGATGAATATAACCAAACTATATTATAGAATAAAGAAAATGATGAACTATCATTGTACACTGAGTATGTGTTAATAAAGAATGAAGATTACATGGTTTGGTCCAGTGTAGTGACTCTCTTCTGTAATCCCAGTGTTCAAGAGATGGAGGCAAGAGGATTGATACAAGTTGAAGACCTCCCTGACCTGTAAGATGAGTACTCACCAGAGTCCATGGCAAGAACCTGTCTCAAAAACAACACATGACGCGTGATTTTAAAACAAATTTGTCAAACCACATCCACTGCCATCACTCTCATCTAAGCCACTTCCTTAGCTGAATGATCACCTCAGACACCTTCCTCTGTTTCTACTTTCCCCTAATCTCAGTTAATTTACTCAGAGGAAAAGCCAGAAATTTGTGTGGACTGGGTTAAGATACCTGATCCCACTTCCTATTGTTTTCACTCATCATCTCTCCTGTAGCAACTCACCAATACCATGTTCTTTGAGTCTTCCATTCACACTCCTACACCCTGTCTAGAATGCTCTATATTTTTACACAGTCCACTATTTATCAAAATTTGCACAGTATTCTCTCCACAATCTCCAATACTTCAGATCTTGTGGGGACCCACATAAGTGTGTCTACTCCACCTTGACTAAATATCAGAGAGCTTAAGCCTACTCTTTTAAAGTTATTGGCAAGAAATCTGACCTAAGGAATGACTACAATCAAGATATCCTGACCTAGAGTGTGATGACTTGGTGTTGTAGCTATTGAGAACGTTAATAGAGGTGGATCCACTTTACCTTGACAAAAGGTCAGATAATTCAAGCATATTCCTGCTCCTTCATTTTTAAGACAGGAGATTTGACCTGGGGAGTGGCTGCCTGCACTTGGTCTAAGGACCTGCCTAAAACACAAAATGCTTAACTCAGGAAATAGTTGCTTGAATTCTCAAATTTTGAAGAAAGTAATTATTCTATTTTCCTTTGTGTCATGTTAAAAGTAATCTTTTGCCTTCTATCCTTTTTGGATTGAGTATATAAGCATATGGAACATAAATGTGGGCCTATTCTATATTCAGTATTCACTGGATAGCCCTCCCAGTTCTATGTCTCCGTATTTCTTTTGTATCTCTGTTCCTCCTACCTAATTTTTTAAATTCACACACCCCTACCCTGGAACATAAAATCCCTGTCGACTCTGGATGCCAACAGATGTTACCCCAACTAGTGGCTATGAAAAGATCTTCCTGCTGTATTTTATTCCTGCTGTATTATAGAGTATTATTTTAAGATGTTTCATTTGTTTATGCTGTGGAACATTTGCTCTAATGATGTAAAGATGTGTTGCATTCTTTTATGTTGGATTTGTTTAACTCTGTGAAGCTGTGATTCTTTACCTCTCTAAAACACCTGATGGTATAGTTAATAGCTGAATGGCAGGAGAAAGGATAGGTGGGGCTGGTCAGCAGAAAGAATAAAGAGGAAGTAAAATCTGGGAAGGAAATCAATGAGTGAGAGGAGGAAGACATTGGGGCCAGCCACCCAGTTATAAAACCCAGCCATGGAATAATAGTTAAAGTAAGATATACAGAAGTAAGAAAAGCCAGATACAAAATGTAAGTGGGTTAATTTAAGAAAAGCTGGCTAGAAACAACCCACACTAAGACCGGGCATTAATAGGAAAGAATAAGACTTCATGTGTTATTTATTTGGGAGCTGGGTCATGGGCCATCCAAAAAGTGAAATATAAAGAGTAAAATCACTACAATGTATAATGTGACTCATTACTTCCGTCACATGCTGTGGGAACTCCTTCAGCCAATAGCCTTTAAGATACTTGTCCACTTTGGGTGAGGTCACATATACTCTACATGAAGATGTAAAAGTGTACATGGCTCCTTCGCTGCTGGAAATGATTTCAGTGCCCCCCTCATGAAGAGGACTGCTAAACTGTGAGTATATCCCCTAAAAAAGAAATCTTTATTATATCCTATTCTGGGCTAATATGGGTTTATTTTATTATAATCTGCAACAGAGTAGTGTCTAATTTTACAAAAATGTATTGAGATATTATCTGAAAGGATTCATACTTTTGGAATTGACAATCAAAATCTGTATAAAAGTTAGTTGATAAGTTAGCAGATAAAGCATCTCTTCAGGAAGGCAATCTGCATGCCATCCAAATAATATCCAAAGATGAGAAGATATTTATTATTGATGGAAAATTTTACTACCTTGGAATCACATGTGTACAATAAGGAACAGAAATTATTTGATTTGATGAAATCATTAAAAATATTCACAGGTCAAGAGATTTAGGCTTTATAAAAGACAGTGATAAAAAAAGATTTGAATTGATTGAGGAAAGTATCAGAACTCGTAAGTGAGAAAGTACCTCTTAGAGTCAGAGATGACTTACCAAGAGTTTTAGCTACCTATTCCATTATTACCTCTGACAAGCCACCAAATACTCAATATGCAAATGGATATAAATGAAAACCGATAGGTATGAAAGATCTAAAAGAAGTTATACAAGCAGTAGTACCTTCTGGCACGCATTCACCATTTGTTAGGGAAATGGTAAAGGCATGGAATTCTAACATTATGGCTACTCCACATGATTGGCTTCATTTAGTCTCAGTGGTTCTGGAAGTTGGGTTACAGTTACAGTGGAAGTGCTATTGGAGAAAGGAGGCTAAAGCTTTAGAAAAACAAGAAAGGATCAAAGGATTTGAGGCCTTCCAAGATCAAATTCTTGGCAATGGCTGTTATGCTGATCCACAGAGTCAAGCTTTTTTTTTAATAATGAACATATCTTGTCCCTATGCCTTGTAACACCTTTAAATGCTTGGGACAGGATTCAAGAACCAGAAAAAAAAAGTGAATCACATAAAGTTAAACAAGGCATAAGAGAACGCTTTAGTAACTTTTTACAAAGATTAAAGCTGAACAGATAGGGGTCACAAATCCAGAAGCTACATGAGTACTTATTGAATCTCTGCCTTTTGAGAATGTGAATTTAGAATGCAAAATGGTACTTGGGCCTTTAAAGGTTAGATCAGACCAATGGGTGAATAGATCCTGCATACAATAAACATTGAGGCATTTATAATACTGAGGTTTGAGTATGAGCAACAATTTCCAAAGGTATGAAGAGACATCAAACTGCCAAATGTTTTAATTGTGGTAGGATGTCTGAGAAGGGATTGTAGGCAAGCCATTCCTAGAAAAAAAAATGTGTTCTCTGGGAATGACAAAATTAGAAGGTCTCAAATCTCTGGATTATGTAGAAGATGTGGCAAAGACCAACATTGGACCAATAAATGTAGATCAACAAGAGACCAACAAGACAACCCGTTACCATTGGGAAACTCAAAGGGCCTCTCATGACCACAGGTCAAACGTGGTCTAGTCATTCACAGTCATTGTGGAGGACATGTTTCCCCAAGAAAATCAAAAAACTTCCAGGCCTATTATAAAAAAAAAAAAAACAAAAAAACCATACTGCTCTGGATGATAGAATAAAAATCAAGGATGAATCAAAAATTTCAAGAGAAAATAGAAAATGTATGTTTTGAAAGACTTCTATAAATGATCAAAGACCAAAGCTGAGAATGTGAATAAATTACATTGTATTCAAAGGATTACTGGACATGGATGCCCCCAATTTGGCCTCTTCAGGAGACAGATGTGAAATTCCTAGGAATTGGAACCTTGTCTCAAGTAAAAGAAAGCACAAGATTGGTTGAATGCATAGGTACAAAAGGATAGAGAGGAAGACTGATACTATAGGTGGCTAATATAGCAGTGAATCTATGCAGCAATAGAATATTCAGATCAGCATTCCTGCATTCTCACCAATGGAATATAAACCAACTCATGTTTATGAGAAGGCTATTTTAAGGTACTATAAAAAACAGTTACCAGACATTTAGGCTGTACAAAAACACAAAGCAAATAGGAAACTTTCCAAGGTACTAATGGTCCTACCTTTAAAATGGTTAACTGAGGAACCAATATGGATTAAATAAAGGCCTTTAAGAGAAGAATATCTGCAGGCTTTAGAACAGTTGGTACAGGAGCAACTAGATGTTCACCGCATTGAAGAATCAACCAACCCTTGTAATTCTCCTTTATTTGTTGTTAAAAAGAAATCTAGAAAATGAAGAATGATAACAGATTTAAGATCTGTCAGTAAGATAATTCAACCAATGGGCCCTCTACAATCTGGGATTCCTTTGCCTTCCCTATTATTTAACGAATGGCTTATTATAGTGATTGATTTAAAAGATTGTTTCTTCACTATACCTTTACAAGTAAAGGATAAAGAAAAATTTGTCTTCACAGTACCTACTCAACAATTCTCACCCTACTAGGAGATGTCAATGGAGGGTCCTCTCACAGAAAACGCTCATAAGCCTCACCCTTTGCCAATATTTTATATGTCAGCATTGGAAATAATATGTAAACAATTTTCTAAATATATAATTTGCCATTTCATGGATGGCATTTTGCTATCTAATTCAAATGTAGACACTTTAAAAATAATACAAGATTAAAGAAGTAAATTAAGTTTTCCCTAAATGGGGCTTACAAATTTTCCCTGAAAATACAAAAAGGAGATTCTATAAATTACCTAGGTTATAAAATAGGTTTACAGAAAATTAGAAGACAAAAAACACAAATTAGGAGAGATTGATTATTGTGGACTCCTAATGACTTTCAAACATTGTTAGAAGACATTTCCAATCTATGACCAAATATTGGGATGGCAACTGTTCTAATTATTTAAACAAAACCTTAGATGGTAACAAAACCTT